TCTTGAGATGTGCATCCATCCCATCCAATCTCTGCTCAAAGCTCTCTTGCTTCCCTTTGAATCCTTGCATCTCTTGACCCAAGCTGGAAAATGAGTTTTTCTGGTCATGCATTAGCTGAGCTTGATCATGCATTAGCTGAGCCAACATCGACTTCAACTCCGACTCTTCTTCCTTAACCTGAGGCAGAGGAGCTCTGTATCCTTGATTCCTCTGATTGTAGTCCTGGCCCTGATTCTGATACCCCTGGTCATGCATTAGCTGAGCTTGATCATGCATTAGCTGAGCCAACATCGACTTCAACTCCGACTCTTCTTCCTTAACCTGAGGCAGAGGAGCTCTGTATCCTTGATTCCTCTGATTGTAGTCCTGGCCCTGATTCTGATACCCCTGATTATGGCTCTGGTAGCCCTGATTCTGGTATCTAGGCTGAAATCCTGGGGGTCCCTGAGGTTTTGCTCCGCTTTGATGCTGAGGGTTCAATGCTCCTTGCGGGTTGCCATAGAAAAAGCCAGGGTGATTTCGATTCCCCGGATTGTAAAAGTTCGACTGATTGTTATACTGATTTCTCCCCACATAGTTGACTTCTTCCATGGCTTCTTCTGCTTGGTCTACCATGTACATCCCCGGTTTAACCTTCTGCGGGTTTGATGAAGCGGACTTAGCAAGTTGCAGCTTGATGGCATAAAGCTCCGAAAGAACGGCTTGTAAAGCCGAAGACTCGCTAGCATCCCCTTTGACATCAGCCTTAGGTAAGGATCTTCTGCTGCTCATTTCCCCTGACATGCTTCTCACTTTAGCCATTTTAGCAATCTGCGCCTCTAAAGCTTCGAAGGGGAGATCGTATACGCTGCCTCCGCATGTTGCATCAATCCATCCTCTCGTGTCGTCCCTAAGGCCATGTATGAAATTTGAGAGGAGATACTTGTTGTCCATACCGTGGTGCGGACACATTCTCTGATACTCCTTGAACCTCTCCCAAGCATCATACAAGATCTCATCATCGTCTTGGGCGAATGTGTTGATCTTGTTCAAGGCCAACTGTGTCTTCATGGGCGAGTAGTACTTCATCATAAACTTCTCTTCCATCTCGTCCATGTAGAAATGGAATTTGGCTCCAAGGTATAGAGCCAATCTCGGGCCTTGTCCATCAGAGAGAAAGGAAATGCCTCGATCATCGCATCTTCCATTGTCACGCCCGGCGGCTTCTTAATGGTTCGACAGAGCATCTTGAACTGCGTAAGATGAGAATTCAGATCCTCATTATACCTCCCTCTGAAGCTCATCTGATTCAGCATCTGAATGAACTGCGGCTGTAGCTCAAAGTGGTCTAAGAGTGGTCGGTTGATGCACGAGAGCAACTGAGTATGCTTGGGCGTCGTGTCCCAAGAGTCTGCGGATTAGCTCGGACGTGCTCTCTTGGTTGCGCTTCACCCCTTGCTGCCTCTTCTGCCATTATGTCCTCTCTTTGTTTTCTACGGATTTCCCTCTCGGTTCTGTCTATGTCCGGGTCAAAGGCAAACTCAAAATCTGGGTCGAGTTGTCTTCGAGTGGGACGTCTGCTCATGCACTAAGGGAACCTACAAAAAATAAAAGTCCAGAAAAAGGCAGAGAAGGTGAATCGACAAAGTTCAGAACGATCCCGAAAAAGTCCAGGAAATTCTGGAAAAATTTGAAAAAAAAATTCAGAAAAACCCAGAAAATGTCCAGAATAAATCCGGAAAAGTCCATGAAAATCTGAAATTGTCCAGAAATTGTCCAGAAAAATC